ATCATTCAAATAAAATTTATTCAAATAAAATATATGATGTGGATTACTGGTATGGATTACTATAATTATACTTCTACCAGTAATATTACAACCATTGTTTCAAAGCTCAAGTAGGTGGGGTGGATTGTTCATCTACATACATGTCAAATCTTAGATTAGTGATTTGGATCGGGCGAATCACACATTGATGATCTAGAAAATTGATAAAAAATATAATAAAATAAAATTTAAAATTTATGGGATATGAATACAAAAAAAACTTTAAAAATATTAGATAAGTTATATATATATATATATATATATATAAAGGATTTTATGGAGAGTGGCACCACGTCCCATATCATCAAGATTTTATGGGGAGCGGCACCACGCCCCATATCATCCCTGAATCAATTTAGCCCTAACCGATTGTTATCTAAATCGTAGATCCAAATTGGAAATTGTTCGGTTTAAAAAACAATGCTTGCAACCTTGTATAATTTTTTTCTAAAATAAAAATAAATATGCAACGAAAGTGAAAAATATAAAATTGACCCAAAATACGAATTCATGCATGCAACGTAGCCGTAGGGATTACGCGATACACAGTGGGCCTACTCATTTTGTAATAATGGTACGGATTTGTAAAATAAATAATAGAAAGAAATTCCACATAGGCAAAATTTTTTTTAAGTAATAAAAAAATAGTTAATTTAAGAGCAAGGGGTGGAAAAGGGGTTTTGTAACGGCTCCCCAGGCGACATAACGGGACCTCGAGATGGGACATTTTTAGGCTGTTTTTTGTTTTAATTATGGAAAATAATGTAATTATTTATCGGCTTTCAATTATAATTTTTAGATTTTTTTTTGTTTTTTTGGTGCTTTTTATTGAGATGCCAAGTACGGACGCGGCCATTTTTAGGGGAATTTTTTGACCCAAAAGGCACCACCATGTTTCTTGTGTAAATGAGTAAGATCCTCAACTTTTCTGACAAAGTCAATTGGGGTCCCAATCTTTTTTCAAGTGACCTTTTGATCCCTGGACATGGTTTGAAGTTTCAATTTTGAATATCAGATTCTCACTTTGTGGTTAGTATACTAAGATTCTTGTAGCCGGTCTCAATTAGTTGAAAAAAAAAAGCTTTGACGTTAATGATGATTCTGACTTTGTAGCTGTGATTGAAAAATTGGAAATCGGCAGAATTTCTAGGTGTTTGGTTTGACTCTGGCCATTATTGAAAAAAATTTTATTGCATATTTCCATCCTAGGGCTAGATACATTTTTTTTTGTTTGTCTAAAAAATCTTGGGTTCCCTTTAAATCCACTAGATCACCACTTCTAGAAAAAGAAAAAAAGAAAAAAAAATAGAATCTCCAGTTTCTAATCACTTAGATTTGACCATACAAAAATAGTGTTTATTTTTTATTTCAATTGGGGTTGGTAGCTAGCTTGAGGAGTTTACATACCCCAAAGCCTTAAGGTCCTAAAAATACACCTAAACATGAAGTAAATGTACAGTTTTCTTATTAATCAGAAAAAAATAACATTTTTCTTTTCAGTTTTATGATTGTCGACGTTGAGATGGTCAATCATCGTCAGAATCACATTTTTTGGCAAGAATTGAAATTCGATAGTTTAATAGAAGCCTCATCATAATTCTTGGATTTATTTGAAATCCCTCAAATTTTATTTGCTCAAAACTTTTGAGATAATTTTGTTGGAACTTGCATTATGGATAAATATAGCTTACACAATGTCCAAATTTACATTAAAAACAAGACTCAAGGTACATTGCTAAGGTCATTTATGGCATTGGCAGAAAAGTTATGCCCTCTTTTGGGGTGCTTGAAATTCAGTGGAGGGTGTTTTGGTCACTTCTCACTCACCAAAGAGAAAGTGGAGACCTAAAAACAAGAAGAATTCCAAAAAGAAGAGAGAGAGAGAGATAGTTCAATAAAAATAAGAGAGAGAAAAACAAAGCTCAATGAAAAGAAGAGAGAGAAGATAAATAAAAAGAAGAGAGAGAAAAACAAAGAAAAGGAAGAGAGAGAAAATAAATGTAAAAAACAAAGAAAAGCAGAGAGAAGAAAGAGAAAAGGAAAGGAGTGCAGGAGCACTAGTGGGGGTCTGATTGCTTTTGCTTTTTCGCTTTACAGGAATCTTTGAAAAATTGGGGGAAAAAAATGGACTCTTTGCTGCTCTCTCTCTCTCTATCCAGTAAGGGGATTGTTTTCTGGGGTTTTTCTGTTTCTGAACCAGCAAGCTTCTCTTTCTCTCTCTATGTCTACTCTTCTCTCTGACTACTCTCTCTCTCTTGCTCTGAAAAGTGGAAGCATTGAAACCCAGTCGTGCATTTTGTGCTAATGAACCAGCAAGCTTCTCTTTCTCTCTCTATTCCCATTGTTCCTTCTCTGTCTACTCTCTCTAGCTCTGAGAAGTGGGAGCATTGAAACCCAGTTGGGCGTTTTCTGTTTCTGAACCAGCAAGCTTCTCTCTCTGCTGTCTACTCTGTCTCTCTCTGATAAATGGTAGATTGAAACCCAGTTGGGGATTTTGTGTTTCTGTAACAGCAAGCTTCTCTTTCTCTCTCTATCTCTACTCTTATCTCTCTGTCTAGCTCTGAGAAGTGGGAGCATTGAAACCCAGTTGGGCATTTTTAGTATCTCTCTCTATGAAAGTGGAGCTGTGAAATACAGTGGGGCATTTCCTGTTAATGAAGCCAAGCTTTCTCTCTCTAGGAAGAACCTTACTTCATGAAAACTGGAGTTAGGGATTGCCCTGCGGTCTCTTCCTGCATCTGAAGTAGCAAGTATTTCTCTCTCTAGGGGCAACTGGGGGCTGTGAAATCCCTACCATGGAGTTTTTTCTGTTCCTGAAACAGTAAGATTCTCTCCCTTTCTCTCTCTAGAGTCTGGACTCGAAGGGGGCTGTGAAATCCTTTCTCGGTTTTCTGTGACTTTGTTATTTCTAAACCAGCATTTCTCACTCTCTTTTTTTATTTTTTTTGAGGCAATAGCATTTCTCACTCTCTTTTTTTTTTTTTTTTTTTGAGGCAATAGCATTTCTCACTTTCTTCTCTCTCTATCGAAAGATTTCAATGGGTACAGTAAAATGCGGCAAGGTTTTCCAATGGCTTCGCTCTTTCTAAACCAGCATTTCTCCCTCTCTCTCTCTCTCTCTCTCTCTCTAGATTAAACTGTGTAAGCTGGAAGGGGTTTTCGTGTTTCTGAACCAGCACTGCGTCTACTTTCTCTCTCTATAAAAAGGACTGAATGGTTGGGGTCTTTGGGTGTTTTCCCTGTTTCCTAACCAGCAATTAGCTGCATTACTCCTCTCTTTCTCTCTCTATTTCCATTTCTCTCTAGGGTGGCTGCCAAACCCCATAGCACTTTTCTTTTCCTTTCCCATTTGCTGAATCAGTAGTCTCTCTCTCTATACCACGCATTGGGAGCCTCAAAATCCAGAACAGTATCTGACTGACTCTCTCTCTCTCTACCCTCAACCATCACACCGCTCCTCCGCTCTCTCTCCATCTGTATACCTGTAATACGTTTTTCCTCTCTCTGAACCATCACTTCTCTCTCTCTCTCTCTCTCTCTCTCTCTTTCTCTTCCCCTCTGAACCGTTATCCCCATCTCCCATCTCTCCTCTCTGAACATTCTCCCCCTTGTCTCTTGCCCCCCTCTATCTCTCCTCTCTTCTTCCTGAACCATCACCCCCTTCTCTCTCTCTCCCCTCATTCTGAACCATCATTCCTACTCTCTCTCTCTACTCTATCCTACATCATCATCTTTTTACATACTGAGCCATCCTTTCTCTCTCTCTCTAGCATCATCTAGGTCTACTCTGTGAACCTCACACTCTCCTCTCTCTCTACTTTCTCTCTCTAACATGAGACCACGCTTCCTCTGAGATGAACCCCTCCGACCCGCCTCCGCCTGTCCCTCCCCGCCTCTCCAACTCGGCCAACACCAAATGCCCGCGCCACCCTGACGACCCCGTCACCGGCTTCTGCGCCGCATGCCTCTGCGAGCGCCTTGAGACCTTCAACCCCAATGCACCTCGCCTCCAGAAATCAAACAATGCCAAGCCATCATCATCTTCAATCAAATCCTTCCTCTTCTCGAATAACAATAACAGTTCTGTGAGGCCAATATCAAAGAATCAGCCCAATGATGCATCGACTGCTTCTTCTTCTTATTCGGCAGCAGCAAGCAATCTTTTGCCGCCTCAGCTGAGGCGTACAAAGTCGTTCTCCGCAACACGGGCAAACCCACCTCTTCCGTCATCCTCGTTCGAGCCCCAGAGGAAATCATGTGACGTTAGGGTGAGGAATACATTGTGGTCTCTGTTCTATTTGGATGATGAGATTAAGCCAATAAAGGAGGTTCATGGAGAGATTGAGGTGGAAATTGATGGCCCTGATGAGATTAAACCAATAAAGGAGGTTTATGGAGAGATTGAGGTGGAAATTGATGGCCCTAATGCTCTGAACCAGTTCCAGATTGCATCTGAGACATTCGATAATGGAGGTGGAAGGGGCTGTGAGCCTGAGATCAGGGTATCTGATGAGCCTGAAATTATGGTTTCTGATGAGCCTGAGATTAGGGTTTCTGATGAGCCTGAAGTTACAGTTTGCGACCAGCCTGAAATTAGGGTGTCTGAGGAGCCTGAAATGGGAGCTCCAAACCCCAAACTTTGGGCTCAGGACTCCAAATTTAGGGTTTCCGAACATGAAATTCGGGCTCGCGACCCTGACATTAAGATTTGTGAACAAGGAATTAAGGTCCGGGACCATGAGATTAGGCCTCGAGAGCATGATATGAGGGCTCGGGACCATGAGATTAGGGCTAGGGAGCATGAACTTAGGCTTAGGGTTCCTGAGGAGGTGCTGCCTATTGTTGAAGAATCTGAACCTGAGTTGAAAACTATGAAAGCTCACATTGATTTGGATTCTCAGTCTAGGGGATCAGGCCGAAAAAATTTGCCAGAAAAGAGAGGAGAACACCATGGGAGCTTTTGGTTAGCTTCGCTTTTTAGCAGGAAGTTACAGAAATGGCGTCGAAAAGGCAGGGGCTCGAAAAAAGCAGCTGAGGCAGAGGAGAAGAGGCCAAATGCTAGGCAATTTAGGGATACTCAATCTGAGATAATGGACGGTCCTCGTTTCTCATGTGATACCGGTCCCAGGTTCTCACTCGATCTTGGCCGTCCATCTTGGGATGAGCCTAGATATTCATGGGATGAGCCTCGAGCTTCTTGGGATGGTTACTTGACTGGAAAATTGTTCTTTAGGCCACCAATGTCAAGTGAAGATCCACCCATTAATCGATCCGATAAGCACTTAACAGTTGAACCAGTGAGATTGGCTACTGAAGATCCGGCTATACCCGGAGGCTCTGCTCAAACTAGAGATTACTATTCTGATTCTTCTTCTCAAAGAAGAAGGAGAAACAATCTCTCTGAAAAATCCGACTCTTCGAGTTCGAGGAAATTCAAGTTAGAGGATACTAGTAAGCATTGTTCGATAGATACCAAGAATAACAATACAACAAAGGTTTCTCCAGCCACTCTTGATGATTTGAGCAGTAAATTTGCAGCAACGGAGTCGAATTTTGGGGACCATTCTTTGAGAGACGACTATTCAGAGAGTTTTGGGAGTTCTTACAGGGAAATGAGAGGACCCAAGAAGTTGCAGAGATGGAGCAAGGCTTGGAATCGCACAATTGCCGGATCCATTTGGGGGCTCATCCATAGGCGAAGCAGCAAGGAAGAGGAGAGAGAAAGCAGGGGAGAGAGAGAATGCAGAGGAAATTTTATGGACCATTCATTTTCAGAGTCATGGCAAGAGAGAGAAAGTAATGGGGTTGGAGATCGAGTGCTCAGAATGAAGGAGCTTCGAAGTAACAGCAGTGTGAGCTCGAGGAGCTCTTATGGGAACGGGTGGACTGGGCGTAGGGGCAGTTTGGGGAATTTGCAGAGAGAAGGGTCTGCTCGCTATCAGAAGAAGAGGGATGAAATAGTAATTGAAAGGAACCGGAGCGCACGATATAGTCCTGGGCATCATAATATTGATAATGGGCTCTTGAGGTTTTACTTGACCCCCATGAGGAGCAGTCGAAGAAGTGGCCATTCAGGCAATAACCGGCTCAAGGATTCAAATTCATTTGCGAGAACTGTGCTTCGTCTCTATTGAGATAGAGAAACAGAATTCATGGAAGAGTTAGAGTTAGAGAGCATGGTTCAAGGATTTGTTGCCCATGGGCTTGGATAGTTAGCGGCAGTTAAATACGTGCTGGTGTAACATTCATGAGGAAGAGAGATAGATTCAGAGCCTTTGAGCAAGGAATAGAGGGAGAGTTTGATCATGAGTTCAGTGGAATCATTGCTCATGGGCTCTGCAGATTTTGACGAACGATTAATTGGGAGTTGAGGCCAAATTGGTGATCAAATTGTGGCATTTACATTAATCCTAATGACAAGACCAGTTATGGATGGTTATGTCCAAAGGCTGCTTATTGTAGATTTGAGCTCAAGACAAAGAAGGGCACCATCAGGTCTTATTTGTGCTAAGCTTTGTTATTGTCGTCATGTATTATATATATATATATATATATATAATCCTTTGGTGATCATGTTAGATATGTGAAATGGATGCTATATATAGATATACGCATGCTTCTCCTTTTGGGAGCATGCAGTATGTTAGTATATGCTTATGTTAATTGCATAATAATGAAAATATTGTCATCTAGTTTTATCTGTTCTATGTGATTGTGTTTTTAGTTGATTCTGTTGAAATTTCAGAGTTGTTGCTGGCTAAGCTGTCTGACTTCTTGGTTTCTTGGTCTTTTGGTTGGATCTTATGACTCTTTGGACTTTTTTTAAAAAAAAAAATAAATTAAAGAAATCGGATATCTATTAAACTGTGAACTTGTTTGAAACTGATAATGTGGTTTTACCATGTTAGTATTCAGAAATTGTGGGCTATAGAATTTATAAATGTTAGTTTTTGTCAATTATTAAATGGACTGCATGAACCAATGACATGTTTGTGGTCAAAGGAGTTTCTTGGATTCTACAGAAAATTATCAAAATACACCTGACATATCAATTGTTTGACATTTTACCCTTTTGCAACTATTCGAAGTCATGATCATGTATATTTTTTAAATTAAATCAAAAGAAATGGGTACAAAGTTATATAGTGCATTTTGATAAATTTCCCTAGATTCTGTTTGAAATAGGAGAAATGTTATAGGAATTACATCTGTGAGGTTAATTGTTTTGATAATATAAAAGAAAGCTCAGAAAATTAGTTTTTAGATTGCAGCAAGAAAGGGACTGAAACCGTCGGGCAATTTAGTGAAAACATGTCTGGAACGTTTCAAAGACTCATCTCTTATGCTTGAATCCAGAACATATCGTCACTCAGAGCTTAACTTTTATGAGGCTTTTCTGGTTTTTTGAAGACCAGGAATCAGGCCGTTAGGGCAGAGGCTCTTGTATCTTGGGTTTTAAAAAAAGGTGCCATTTACTTATTTTCTCTGGTGGAGATTTGTTATATAGCCTCTTGCTATAAACCTCTGAAACTCTTCTACTAGCTCTTTTTTCATTTTTTAGAGTTTCCTTGTTGAGCGCTTGAGATCTTGCAGTTAGGAGATGAAAACAGAAGCTAACAGGGCTTTTGCAGTCACAACGTTACTGGTTTGTGGACATTTCTTTTTGTATATGAATTTCCATTGTGTTTTTTTCCCTATTCCTTGTAAATCATTTCTTTAGCAGTTCTACCAATTGGACTAGTTGAACCAGATAGAATGGTCACTTATTTCAGAATGCCTTATTTTATCGCTCTAAAAGTGGTGAGAAAACAGCATCATATAGAAAATGTCGGCTTAGGGAGCAAGTTAGAAACTCTACTAGATTAGAGCATGGGAAAGCATATACTATTGTGATCCTTAGGACCTCATGATCTATGCAGTCATAATATCATCCAATCACAGTGTTGGACTGTCATGGAGAGATGTGGGATAACCCCTTGATTAGATGGGAATTACTTTATGATTATATAATTTATGTGATTGTCTCATGGTGGAATACTTTCTCTAAGAATATTGGTAACAAGCATTAGAATATCCTAAGGGGTAGATTATTACTTCTTACTTCATGGAGCTCCCATTGTAGATGTATTTCAAGTCATAAAGAAGAAAAATCAGTACATTTTTCCATTGGATGGATTGATTTAATTAGGTTATATTATTTTTTAAAAGTATTTACAGTTGGTGTCTATCGTGGACATATGGGAGCTAATGTCATGGAGATCCTACTTAGATGTTTTTCAAACACAAGGCCATACCTTCTGCATTGGGCTTGTTTTTAATTAATATTATTTATAAAGGTCAGTGAAAATTTGTTCGCGAGATTGTACCTCCTTCGTACATTATAGGTGGTCTAAAACAAGGAACCAGACTTGGTAAATCCCCAGCTTGAGTCAGGTCTGACAAACTTGGCTGAGTTTGTACCTTAGGTTTTGGCTTCGTCGTAGACATATTGGTTTGGTTGAGGGAGGTCAAGGGTTGTTCAGACCCTTGGAGTTGTCCACAAAGCCCAACAAGCTAACCTAGCCATTTTTTTCTTTTTGAGTCTGTCATAGACTGACCTGAGTCCTAAAAGAAAAATTACATGAACAATATTAGAAACCTGTGAGATTCATCCGGTTTTAGGTTATACATGGCAGCCTGCTGAATCCAAGTAACTCAAGCAAGTCTAAATCGGACTCTCCAAGTTTTGATTCACTGCACATCACTCACAGGACCCGAATTAAGCATCAGTGCCACATTAAGATGAATGTTCTCAATTAGAGATGGTATTTTTGTCATAGAGAATTAGAGTTGTCCCCTAAGAATTCTCGGAGAAGCCATAGAGAAAGGGTTTTTGAGTGACAGGTTTTAAGCACTTTGGGTACCTCTGTCGGTGCGACCTTCTAGATCTTATTGCCTGTTTACAATGAGTGTTAAGTGGTTGTGGACTAAATTTCTAGAGGGTGATGGAAAAGGATATCATTGCGATCATGAAATAAAAATGAAAAGGAAGTATTTGTAGCCTAGTGGTAGGACAGTAGAATATAGGAGTCTAATTGTGCTGTCTGGGTCAGGCCCAACTAAGCAGGGTCTAAGGCAGACCCAGACCCGACCTATACCCGGTCTAGTCTAGGTCGATCAGACTTGGACCCAACCTGACCTGATTAGATGCGGACGCGGTCGGGTTGGGTTTTGGACAAATGGGCATGGACCCAATCCGCTGGTCCACTTGGCAGGTCCAGACCTGGGACCTAGGTTGGATTGACATGCACACCAATTATCACCCTTAAATGACTGATAACACCTTTGCTTTGGATATAATCATGGTCATTTGACTGCTCCGCAATTGTGGTTTGTACAAAATAATCAGGTATTTGTTATGGGGTCAGGCATGTTAACACTTCATGAATGTTGTCTCTTGGGCAGAATCATTGCTTGTTAGTGGGAACTTTCATTGTGACCTTATACTGATATGACAGCCATTAACATTACATAATAAATATCATATCTTAAGTTTTGGGTTGGATACATAACACACAGTCACCAATCAAAAGAAATCGCAAATGTATACAGTGAGACTATTTACCTTTTGGTGCAAGTCGGTCACAATTGTTATTGACCGTTAATGTGAAATCGAGTGGATAGGGATGTTTCATTGATCGGGAACGAAAGCCCCATATGAAATTTTTCGAATGTTGTGGAACATTTTAATTTGTTGGAGTTCACATTTAATGGCTAAGAATAATTGTGACCGCGTGCTAAAAATAAATGGTATTATAGTATGCAATCTCAAAGAAACAAGGAGAGAGAGAGAGAAAGAGAGAGAGAAGGTTCATATGTTATCAATAGATTATTTTAGCGAAAATATTTCCGTACCCCCCATTTTTACGTTTTATATCTCAATAAACCCAAGGTTTCAAAATATCTTGGTTCATAAAAATTATAAGTTTTGTATCTTTTAACCCCCTAAGCTAATTTTATCTCCTTTAAACTTTTTTTTTTGCCCCAAACAAATATAAGAAAGACATTCTTTCTAAACACCATTTTTTTTCTCTCTTCACTTGATTTTCCCTTAAATCTCACCTTCTACCTATTTTCCCGCAATCTCTCTCCCTTTTTAGAGAGACAAAAAAGGTGAATATTAGAGAGAGAAATTTGAGAAGAATCAATCACTCAAAGAGATGAAGGCTCCACAATGAACATGTTTTTTTTATATTTATTAGGGCTAAAAAAAAAAGTTAAATGTGGGTAAAATTAGTCATGGGGTTAGAAGATATGTTTTGAACTTTTGGGTCGATTTGAGATAAAAAAACTTAACATGTGTTATTAGAATGACCACCGGACTATGAGGTTTTAGTCCAATCAAACCGGTTGAACCACTGGTTGAATCGGTTAGATTGTATTTTAGAAAAAAAGAAATCAAATTAGATATAATAGTTGAAAATATAAAATGTATTAAAATTTTTTTCCAACTTTAATTAGCTGGTCAAATTAGTTACAACTGGCTGGTCCGACTGGTCAAACATATATTTTTCTTTTCACCAATATTCAACCAAACTAAATTTTTACCTTAGATAAGATCGGCTAAGGCACTGGCCGGCATTACGCCAATCAAGCCTCCTTTTCAGTAAATCTTGATAACTATGATCTTTAACACCTCCTAGATGTTTTCTATCCTTAGGTTCTTTTCATGCATGTGATTTGAATTCTATTTAATGAATTTCATTGATGACAGAGAAAAATGAACGTTTCATTTGTCTGGCAACATCGGATTGCAACAAAGTGGAAGTACACTTTAATTGACTGTACCCAGAAGAATTGGGGTTCAAACCTGCACCCTCAAGTTTCAAACAACCTAGAGAGAAGGCAAAGTTTATTCTGCTCATAATATGGGGGGCATAGAAAAAGACCGAATTTTGTAGGGCTGCAGCATTACAAAGTACACATCACTTTTTCTTTTCTTTTTTTTTCGATCAAATGCAATTCGGGTATCATAAATATTGTAAATTGATCATCTTAACCATTACAATCATGCATTTGTTTAAAAAAAAAAAAAAGATTTCAAATTCTAAAAATAGTCTATTTTTAGAACATCTTTTCTTGAAAATGGTTTATTTCAAGTCTTTAAAGATCTGTTGTACATCATCATTGTTGGATCTTCGAATTCCAATAATTAAGTCAACAATAGATTTGCATGCCATCACAAGAGTTTTTTATGTCAAAACTATACTTTTCAGCAGCATTTTGAGGTGTGACTTTAGCAGATATCGTAAATCTGCAGCCTCAGAAAACGCAAGGTCAATAATTATTTTCCGTCAGTGATACATGGGTGGGACGAACAAGAGTGGGGACACACCTAGTGATGTGCACTATGGTTATCGCTAGGATACAATTTTGTGCACAAAGAAGAAAACAATGCTTTTATAAATAGAACTAATCATCTAATGGGGGAGAGAGAGCGAGAGAGTTGTTAATCATGTAAATCTGAATGATAGTTTTTTGGTGGTTGACTTAGTTTCTGTACGTGTGCAAGAGAGATTGATCCTAGGCAAATGAAATCATCATAAACAATGAAACGGAGAGAGCGACATTATGTAATAAAATTTTGCTGATATTTAACCATTCAGTGAAAGTGAAATTAAAAAAACAGTTTTAGAGACAAATGGTGCATTTCATGATGGGAGGCAGATAATCATTTCTTGTATTGGAAGGGAAGCAGAATGATTATAAGAGAGAGAGAAGATACGACTGAGAGAGAGACTACAACCCCAAGTAGATTTGAGAGAGAGAGTGAGAGACCATCTGATAAAATCGAGAAATTGTACAGATTTTTCAAAGTTCAAAAAAAAAGAAAAAGAGGAAGAGAGGCTACAATCCCAGGTTCATTGAGAGAGAGAGAGAGAGAGAGAGAGAGAGAGAGAGAGAGAGACGAC